CATCCAGGGTCTTCACAGGTAGACATAACAGTAAGGTCCAGAGAGTGTGCTAAGCGCATCTCCAACAGTGATGCGAGAGTCGGATGCGTAGCCATAGTCCAGAATGTCCTCAAAAGTAGTGTTAGCGCTGGGGGGCGTGTTCAAGAACGTGTTCGTGCCGGAAATCGCGTTCTCGGTAAATTGGCGGTCGTGTGGGGAGAGCATCTGCCACATCCACCAAACACGGTCAATCATGGCATGGTGAAGGTAGAAGACCGGATCTCCTGGGCTGGTGAAAAAGTCGCGAGCCGGATCCCCTGAATATCAATTAGCTGGGAACAACGAAGATTGAAGTGTACAATTCACGTACCGCCAAAACTGTAATGTCCGCCTCCATGGATACCCAACATGGTGACTGATGTCTCAGTGAAGCCCTGCATCTCATACTGGAAGGTCGAGATGTCTTTGGGGACGACGATATTGTGGAGCACAGCCGACGCATTGCAGAAGCGACGGTTGATCTCAGTGGTAAGGTCGCGCTTGAGACACCTCGGGTTGTAGGCAAAAAATCCATCTGGGTTCGACTCGCTGCCTCCGCCTGGAAGCGCCAGGGCGACGGGGCCAAGGTTGACTGATAGGTCCTTGAACGGTCCGGACTTTACACAACCACCACCTGTTCCGGAAGGGAGGCGAACAACCTCATTGCCATCGCCATCGGTAAGAATCAAATCGCCCTTGCCTTCGACAAACTCCCCGTCGCCGGAAATTGACGTATCACTTCCGTCGAAGACTGGAGAAGTGTCGAGGCCCGTAATTGCAGACTTGGTCCAGTCCCAGTACTGTCATCAATGTCAATATGCGTCTTCGGAATTCGGCATGCCTCTTACCGGTTGAGTGCCGGTGTAGCTACACTCCTCTCTCAAAGCCTCCTCATACAGCCAAGTGAACTGCCTGTGCCACGATAGGAAGATTCCAGTCAAATGGATTGAGAACGTCTGATTGATGTGCGTGGCGACGAAGTCATCGAATCGCGTCTTAGCTCCAGGGACGATCTCAGAAGGAGTTCTTGCAGGCTTGGATGTGAAACACTTGACAGCCTTCAGGTAATCAAGTCGCTCTTGCTTGCTCAGGGAGCCCCTATGAACATATTAGCTCAGCTCGACCGACGACCATGGCGTGGATGCATACCACTCCTTGCGGATCTTGATGTTGCTTGGCGTGCAAGTGCTCCCTCGCTTCTGCAGCTCTCCGCTGTTGAGAAGCTCCTCAGACTTCGCATAGGCAGACTGAGCGAGAGCGGCCAGTTCCTCGATGCCTTCAGCAGCGGCAATGGCTCCTGCGTCCGCTTGAGGCAACGGGTTGGCCAGAACAACAGAAGCCGTCTGTAAGGCAAAGATGCCGAGGGATAAGACGTGCATTTTGACGAAGTAACTGGAAGCCTGAGCCAATGAGAAACCGGGACGACCCAGATGGAGAGAACCTGGCTGAGTGCAGGAGAAAGCACTCAGCAAACAGGATGACTAGCTTGGTGCCAGATATATGGACTTCCCATAGACTGGTATCTCTATTATTTCGGGGGAAATTCTATATCGGTCCATCACCAACGTGCTTATCGAATACTGTAGTCGGGCGTATCAATCATGCCGGACACTTTCTCAAAGCGTTGGAGATCCTTGCGAAATTTCGGTGGACCATGTCGGGTAAAAGACGAGTCTTGAGCATTGCCACCAACCAACAACGAGAACTCCATATCTGCAGGGCTTTTACGAAAGATCCATCCCACAGCCAATCTTGTCAACAAGTCAGCACTAAAAACGCAAGTAACGTACCCACCAGTGCAGGGGAAGTTGGAGGCGGGGCCCGTGGCGATGCTTGGCTTTCTCCTCCGAGACCAGGGCTGCGGAAGGGGCGGCGGGGTAGTCAATTCGTCATGCAGACCTATGCCGGGATTACTCGACCGGCACACGGTCCGGACCCTTTGGCGACCTGGTAAATAGATTCCCTTGTCATGACCTCTTGCCCGTTGGGGAGGTGTGTCCGGTGCTCGGCTATGTTTGACGCGGGATACGAAGCATAAAAGAACCCCAGGATCTAGTCATACCTTGATTCAACGACCAACCAGAAACCAAGAGAATATCATGCCATCATGGAATCTGCAGAGCCCCTGCATCTTGATAATCCCGGTATCGCAAATTTTAACACATTTTTCCAAGGGAAATTGCCACCAACCGGCTTGCGATGGTGGCACCGGTGGACACGGCAGGTACGGTGCATCCAGTCCACTCCAGGCGCTTCATCTTCTGGGTTCGTCAACGAGATGATTATCGCCTAGAAACAGGTGATCAAGGACTTGGACGTTGCTGTACGTAATGGCCTGATAACATGTTTCATGAGGATGAAGCGCTTTTTCATGTGATGCTGGCCAATTGACTCTCGATCCAGGAGTGAATAACGGCGACTCTATGTGGCTCGCTGTAGGCTAATTGTGGTGGCGAAATTGGGGGATTGGTTGAAAGCCTATTCAGTGGTTTTACCTTTCGTCGACTCTTTAGACTTCTGCGGCGAAAACATCTCTTCTTCTCTCATGTGATGGTTTCTTCGACAAGTTGTGCAAGATGGAATTTGTTTCCAATCCTGCTGACAATGAGGGCCCTACGGTCCTAGCAGCGACGGTGACGGTAACATGTGTGGCTCTTCTTACGGTTGGGGCACGCTTCTACGTGCGTCTTGGTATGATTCACAGCTTTGGTCTTGATGTCTGTTTGCGTCTCTTCCTACATCTCACCAACTCGGTATCACTGACATTTTGCCCAAATCCAGGACGGGTTCATGACACTTGCGATGGCTATTGCCATCGCTGGCGAAGGCGTTCTTATTACTCAGGTTCGGCATGGAGTTGGTCGTCATACCGGAGATGTTGACCTTGCGGTTGACTACCCCATCGCGATGAAGATGTCCTTCGTCTCGCAGCCGCTCTTTCTATCGGCTCTGTGTCTTGTCAAGCTCGCTGTAGGGTCTTCCTTGCTCCGCATTGCATCGAAGAAGCTCTACAAGAGTATGATCATTGGCATCATGGTTTTCATGACCGCATACACCATTGCCTGCATTTTTGTAAGACCCAATCTAGAAGCCAAATCCGCGATCACCATGAGTCATCCTGCTAACTTACATTTTCCTCACATGCAGACAATCGTATTCCAATGCACCGATGTCCGAATCTTTTGGGACTTCAACGTGGACTCGACGTGCTGGGACATCGAAACGATCAAAAGCCTTGCATATGCCAACTCCTCCGTCAATATTCTCACCGACCTTCTATTCGGCATTGCGATCCCCGCCCCAATGCTATGGACTCTCAATGTCCCCACCCGTGTCCGAATATCCCTCATGATTATCCTAGGCCTCGGTGTGTTTGCATGCGCAGCAGCCTGTGTAAAGGTCTACTATGTGGTCACGGCGTATGGAAAAACATTCGATCCCTTGTGGGACTCACGAAATATCCAAATGTGGACGGTTATCGAAGCAAATGTCGGAATCATCGCTGGCAGCTTACCCACACTCCGGCCTTTGTTCAAGGATTTCCTGGGAAGCATCTACGGAAAAGGGTCCAAGGCACCGACAGGCAACACTTACTACGGTCGAGGGACGCTGCGGAGTGGGAACAGCAATTGGCAAACACTCTCAAATTCTCAATGGCCTGTGGGTACAGGCGAGGGAAACAGGGCCCCGAGGCCACGCAAGGATAGAACAGGGGATGACTACGAGATGGGATCATATGCCTCACGGCCAGTTGGATCAACCACCGTTATGGCGGGTGGTGGAGCGGACGTCAGCGACGAGAGCTTGTATAAGACTGGACTGCGGGACGGTCCTGAGAGGCAGGGCATCAAGAAGACAACTGTCACGACGATCATGTATTCTCAGAACCAGAAGGATGATTCCGGAAACTAGTTCCTCGCGAACCCAATGAAATTTTCTTACACGTCAGCCCTCAAGACTGGGAGCTATGATGAAATCTTGGTTGATTTTGGACGGGAGGAAGGTTTGTCAGGGATGAGCCACACCCCGGCTGTTTAGGCGACAATGCCGTACGCGTGCCTCTTTCCACCATGTTCTCTGCGGCTTTTGTTGCGCCACGGTCTCCTTGATTCATATCCGATGCCGGCTAATTGCTGCATGTCCTAGCTTTCACTTCGCATTACTGCATCGCTTGACATTTCCGGAAAAGAATTCCGGCAAGTGGGCCGTCTCATTGGCCCACTCGCATCTAGCACTATTAGCAGAGACGGCACAGCCAACAACGTCCCGGAGCGATCGCTGCGCCAGTGTGGCAAAGTCGGAGTCGAGTCTCATTATCGCGTGGACCGAAATCATCGTGGGTCAGGCCCAGAAACACAAGCGAGGCCAGTTCTCCAATGCCTTTGCCAAGTTGTCTCTCGGGGACTCGAGCCGGAAAAGCGGATGGATTTTGTGTTTGGGCTTGGGCCAGGATATCTACTGGAATCCCTGATTGAAGCCCCGTCTTAAATATTTGTCCGCGGAGTCCTACAGGGCGGAGAGCCCTGGTTCAAGATGTCGCCGTTGCAATTTTCCCAGGGAACTTAACCGATCTCGGTGGGCCTTATGATTGGCAATGACCACACCTAATTTTGTCCTCTAGTCCCAACCGAGGACTGTTGGTACAAGGTGCGACGACGTATCTGATGACAGCAGTACATAATATCCGAGCAACCCTGCTTCGGCAGGCTTCGCTGCCACTGAAGAGGGCTTCGAGGCCAGCAGCCCTAGACAAAGGACGGGGATCCCGCCAGGCTACTTCATCATTTGGGTAATTGAGCTGGGAACTCGAGCGTTCCAAAGAACTCTGCAAGCGGTTGACACGAAGAAAGCAGCGTATCATCGGATTGTCCTTCATTTTACCGGGTTATCTGATGACATTCCGACTTCCATACCCCCTTGTGCGACCAGGATGGCAAACCCTGTAAGGTAAGACATACCAACAATACCCTCTATATCAATGGTCAGAAGCTCGCCTGCTGGTGCAAAGCGGGGCTATCCCGAGGTGACCTTGTCATGTGTAGCCCGGATGGGTCCTTGAGTGTAGCCAACGCTCTGAAAATGGGTTCAATATTGCACGGATCAGTCCCGAAAGCTCCAGTCTATATCGACCCAGATGAGATGATGTGATGTCTCTTTTCCTGCGAAGATGAGATACCATCTACCCATCATAACATGGATGTTGAACCTCTTTGCTGTTAAACGAGTCTCGGTTCTAGATCCCTCAAAAGGTCTATCATACTGTCTAAACCATTCTCTCTCGCAGATTGAAAAGCCATGGTTATTGTCTCAGGCTCCACCGGAGCGAATCTCTCAAACAACAACTTGACCATGGCTGTATGTTCGTTCATCACAGCATACTTCAAGGTCGAACATTCCCTGAGGTCGGCAATAGCCCCGTGATCCAGCAGCTTTCTCACAATAGCCAAGCTCCCGCCAGCTGCAGCTGCCATCAACGGGTAGCCGAGCATGTACTCGCTGCTGCTGGGGTTCGCGCCCCGTTCAAGGAGAAGTTCAACCACCTCTACATGGCAAGCTCGGGCCGCCACTGCCAGAGGAACTTGCTTGTCCCAGACAGAACCGTCGACCTCGGCTCCTGCATCGAGAAGATTCCGCACCATTTCCACGTTGCCCAGCCAGCAATGAAGAATCACAAAGCGATAGTCGGAAACAGCGGCGTCAACCCAGTCGCAGACATACTTGTGAACCTCCCAGTTCTGTGTCGCAAATTTGTACTTGTGTTCTTCAGAGGTGTATCGCACAGGAATCAACGTTTCCATTGGCGCGACGATGAAGGTGCAGTCACGTAATTGGGTCAAGACTTCCTGGGCAACGTCGATGTTTCCGCCATGTGCTGCAGCATGAACAGCACAACGTTCTGTGAATGCCCGTGTTAAAGGTGACTCGGCTCGATTTTGTCTGGGTATCAAGTGTTTTTGATTAGCAATCAAAGGAATAGACTTAAACCCCATTTGTTGGCAGCCAACCCCGGGAAAAGGCGTCTTCGCTCCTTACATATGAGGAGGGAGTATTGTTTCATCGGTCATAGCCTCAAGTAATAGCTTAACGACCTCAAGATTCCCAGCTTCAACGGCAACTTGCCAAGGAGAAGGCAAGAGATCGGTCTTGCCAAAAGGATACTTAAAGGGCCACTTGTGGTTTTGTAAAAGGGTCTTGACAAGAGATTGGTTGTTGAAATGGACTGCAAGAACAAGTAGTCCTTGAGATGCCTCAGTTCTCGTGCCCATTGACGGGAAGGCGATCCCGCCATGAAACTCGGATAAAGTCAACCAGCAAAGTTCTGAGATAGTAGTTTCGATATCGGCTCCAGTCTCCTTGCACCAGTCCTCCGCCAGCTGTCTCAAGCGCGTAAAAGGGTCCCCCGGGTCCGTCTCAACTCGGGTTCTTTGGACGCAATATGCATGCCATAGGTTCTCTGTCCCGTAATTCTCCTGCACTCTCCAATGGCATAGCAAGGGAGGTCTACCCTTTAGCGATTCTGGAAGCCGCCTCCAATACAAGAACCCATACTCTTTTTGAGCCAACAGAAGCCCCTCTATGATAGAGGCGCCGATAAGATCTTTGAAGAGCTCTGATACAGGTCAGAAAGCTGGGTTGAACGCCAACAGTACCTATGTTACAGTGTTCAAAGGTGATGTGTGAGAGGTAACGTACTGCATACGAGCTTCAGGCGTAGCCCTCGCTGCAGGCCACGTGAGAGACAGGCATGATGCAAGATCAATTGGATGATCTCCGTGGGTAGCTCCAAGATCGGGAGGCTCATGATCATCAAAAACTGTTCCATTGGCTATGGAATAACGGCGTTTCGGGTTGCGGACGCTGAGAGCAATCCCTGAGGCATGAGGTTGAGATGGTGAAAAATTGAGTGCGACTCAAGGATTCCCACAGAGAGGCAAAGATCTCCACTTTTGATGCACATCGTGTGATATCAGCCTAACATTGTTGCGCTCCATTTTGCCAGACACGTGTTAGACAACTATTGCTGGCTACCAGGGTCCCGCGACCTGGCCGGTGTTTGAAATCCAGTCCAACCTTTGAAACAACAGAAGACACTTATTTCATTTCTCTAGACTCACCTGAGAGGCACTAATTGAAGTCAACAGACGGTTTTAAAAGCTCTGACGGATTGGAAGACAAGCAGCATTTCGTTGCGCAACACAAGGATAACGGCTACAACCCAGGATGAAGTAATCCTTTTGGCGATTTGGCGTCAATTGGGCTCATTGATTGGTTCACGTGGGCCTGCCTGACCCTAGTCCTATTCTGATGATGAGCTGACCGACCAGGCCTTGAGAAGCTGATCATCTTCCTCCGTGAGCCACAATTCTAGGAACTTCATTGACGACATCTTACAGGACGCCCAATGTCTTTGCTATGGGTGAACTCACCATGCGCTTGAACCAAACTCTTTACTGCAGACAACCACGCAACTCGCTGCGCACCCGAGCCACAACATGATGCGTCTCATTCACACGCCTACGATGCAACTCAAGGAGTTCATCGGGCGCATTCCCAATTACGCGATATTGTCGCACACATGGGGCGCAAACGAGATCACCCTCCAGGATCTTCAATCTGGGGGTGTCAAACTCCAGTCAAAGCAGGCTTTCCACAAAATTGAGGCTACATGCCGCCAGGCCAATCGCGACGGTCTTGAATATGCGTGGGTGGATTCATGCTGTATCGACAAGACCAGCAGCGCCGAACTAGGCGAAGCTATCAACTCTATGTATCGTTGGTATCAAGACTCTGCAGTGTGTTATGCTCACTTAGAGGATGTTGAGGATGATAATCCATGTCGCAATGGGGTATCTTTGGGTTCATTTGCAAGCAGCCGATGGTTCAGTAGGGGATGGACGCTGCAAGAGCTCATCGCGCCGAGACATGTTGAGTTTTACAACGCCAAGTGGCAAAAGCTTGCCGAAAAGAGCTCTATAGTCAGTGATCTAGAGAGAATGACTGGAATTGATGAGTTCGTTCTTAGAGGGGGATCGCCCCAAAGAGCGAGCGTCGGTCGACGGATGAGTTGGGCCGCAGGAAGAAAGACAACCCGAGTCGAGGACATCGCCTATTCACTTCTTGGTATTTTCGACGTGAATATGCCTCTGCTATACGGAGAAGGAGAGGATTCATTCGCGCGGTTGCAAGAGCAGATTTTGCAACAGTCTGACGATCACACACTCTTTGCGTGGCGTGCAACGTCACTCTCTGGGCCTGGTGAACCTCTTCGTGGCCTTTTGGCGCAGTCCCCGGATGAGTTTTCCAACTTCAGAGACTGGCCCAATCCACACAACGATAACATTGTCCAAATTTGGCCGCGAAGCCCCGTAGGCGTGTCAAAACGCGGGATCCACTTCACGTCCAAGACGAAAGCCCTTGGGCGGCGAAGCATTCTGGATATATTGCTCTTCCGATCGAACCCATCGTCAATAATTCTTCCCTTAAACTGCAGTGTAGGCGGCGACCCGCAACGCGTGGTGGGGATCTACTTGGACCTTCAGGATGGCAACAGATATGCCCGAGCACGGCCATCAGAACTTGCGGATATAACGATCCCAGGTGGCCGACGGATGGCGATCTGCGGTATCCGCACATCATCAGACCTAAGAATCGGATATTATGACAACCCATGGGGCGCTCGACCTCCAGGGCTCAGCGACATAGAAACACTGCATGTTGGTGCTACAAGTCTCAACCCTCGGCGAAACACGACTCCGATAGGATACTACCTTGCTGGCATCTTCACGGCCGAGGAAGAGGGGGGTCCGTTGAGATGTTACAGCTACCAACACGAGTACCGCGAGGGTCGGGCACTCAACTCGGCGCTCTTCCTTCAACTGCAGAGACACCGGCGGTGGACGTTGTTACTGAAAGGGAGATCTGAGGGTGACATCGTCTTAGTCACATTCTGGGTCTTCAAGGAGAGAGATCTTAAGTTCGATGCGGTCAGGCTGCAGCCTTCGGAACTGCAAAACGACTCGGGTGCCATCACTAACGCACTGCGGACCGTAGCGGCTCCTGAGAGACACTGCGTAGACAAATACATTCACATGACGGATCGTCGTCGAGAACTCAGGCTTCGCCTGACAGAGACTGAAGTGCAAGGGCACAAAACGTGGGACCTTGGCATTCGCTTGGTAGATCGAGGGTTCTGGATTCGCATACTAGTCGGCGTAGAGACGACTGCTTTTACTGGGGCGTGTGCCGTCTCTTCGTTCCCTTTTATTATATAGCACGGGTTTCATGATCAACATGAGCCGATAGGAAAGAGACCGTTTAATCTTCCCGCGTACCTGCAGCTATATCTCTTGTTTGGTTAATCACTGCGATTAAACACGGAAATACGAGTAATGATAATAGTAGTAACGATAGCAACGACGACGACGAGGATTTCGAAGAGGACAACTAACAAAGCAGCGATAATAACTACAATAGCGACAACGATGATTACTACAGGAAAAATGGCAGATCTCATGGGAAATGGGTGAACAAACTTGAAGGAATATCATTAGTCACGATTTCAATTTTATTCAATGCTATCATCATCACCATGGAAGAATCTCAAAATCGCAGCAGCAATCAAGTCTCCATCATGTTCCAGATGAGCCGTTTCCGCAGCTCGATCTGCATGCTCCAAGTCCTGGATACCACCGCTCTCGACTCTCATCTGAATCTGCCTCTTGACCATATCTTCGTCGAAAGCCAAGTGCGCTTGTGTTGTAAATAGCCGCCCTTGAATGTAGATACCTTGCACTTTGGTGTGGCTGCTATGCCCCCAAATATCCACCTTTGTGCCGGGCTTCAGCAATCCTTTGGAAGACTCTGGAGACGGTGGCGCTACAACTTGATCCTGGTGCATTTGATGGAGGTACACGTTGTCGTCGTCAGTACGGAAGAGGAGCTTTCCGACTGGTGAAAGGTCGATCCTTGAGTGGCCGAGCTCCCAGTCGCGAGACGGCGCTGGAGCAACCTCAGCACCAAGCATGCGATTGAGCAGCTGGTGGCCAAAGCAGACACCGCTCAGATGCAGGTCAGGTCTCCGTTGCCATAGTTCTGCGAATGACAGTCAGTGGTTGTTCATTGAGACTCCTGGCTTTGCCGGATACACACCTTTCAGGACGTCGAGCAACTTCAGAATCCAGGGGTTATCTCCGTGTGCATCATACATGCTTCCGGTGATCAATACTCCCTGATAGTCCTCAAACTCCTCAAATGCAGGGACTTTGCCCCCCTCTTCTTCCACCACAAATCTCTGATCGGTGTCGACGCCGAGTGGAGGATCGTGGTCGGCTCCGGCATTCTGGAAGTGACTATGCAAGATGTCGCCGAAGCTGCCTTTGGTTGCATGAGTGTCCGGATGCGGCGTGTCTGTTTCCAAGACAATCATTCGCACAATAGGTGCGTCGGGGCCAGGGTACTTCTGAACCTGTGGCATATTGGATACTGCTGGACGCAATCGGAGGTTTTCTTTGTTTGCACTAACGTAGGGCGAACAAGGACTCAATTACTAAAGGTGACCTGATTGTGAGGCTTGGTAGGGTGGTGGCAGAAGAAAGTTGCGGGGGAGCGCTGTCGATTGACAGGCACAGGTGAGTCCCATTACTTAAAAACTCGTTCTCCCTCCAAGATGATCTGCATTCCTCTTTAGTGACGCGTTGCCATGCGAAAACCCCAAGAGCCAAGTGACCATAAATGAGCCGTCCAAGAGCGAAGCCGGCCCTTCGGAATTCCATATTGACGTCAATGGACGGTATTTCGCCATAGGGCTGAACTGAAACGGGAACTCGATGACGGCACCTGTGCTGGGTTTTGAGTTTTCATAACATAATTCCCGCTAAAAGTCCACCGCGCCGGCGCCTGGGCGGGTTCCACAGTTGGGGAATGCACCTTTTTGCTTCGGCTCCGGGCGAAGATTATTAGTAGAGCATGGCTGTCTATCTGTTTGCCCAGACGCTTCGCCATGCCTTAGCCAGCTTCTTTCTTAGGAAACCTGAAAGATGGGGGTTTATGGTACGGCCAAGGGATTTAGCATCCGATTTCCCATTGTTTTGGTGTGTGTCTGAGAAAACGAAAGTCTGGCGATTGTGCGCCAATGTCTTGGAATCGCCTTCCAAGATTTGGTGGCACGACCCGCCCGTTCTCGCCCCAACCCTTGGCAAAATGGGGGACCGCCCCGAAAAACAGCATCATGATGGGTCTCTGGAACCCACGATGTATTCCGAAAAAAACATGCCTGGTAGGTAGTAGTCAACAGCTGGGAATACTTTGTGAGATGAGAATCAAGTGGGTGTAGATGCTTTGAGGAGCCCTGGAGGCTTCCTGACTTGTGAGACCACTTTAGCTTCCAATCTCAAAGACTCGCGGCCCGGTACTAAGGGAGTTTCATTGCGTGTCTTCTGTTATTCCGAGGCTGAAAGGAACAAACGAGGTAGAGGTAAACAACCTGGAAGAAGGAAAGAGACTCATTCCGCAAGAGGATGGGTTTCTGTGCAATTATGACAGATACCCCCTGGCTTCGGTCGGGCAATTTCTATTCAAGGACAATGTGTTCTATTGTGGACTGTTACCTGGATGCATTGCGTTGAAGATTATTATTTCAGGCAAAAGAAGACGAGAACGCCTTCAACAACAAAGAACTCGAGTTTGATGGAAAATGAAGGGAGACAAACTTATCGAGGCAACTGATGGCACAAAGGTGAGTCTTCTCGACTCCGAGAGAATATTAAAGCAACGCAATTCTAGGCTGAGACTTCAGTCAACAAC